GTTTTAATGTTACTTCTATGAAATTATATATTGAAATCATCATTGCTTTGTTAAAAATTTTGCAAGATAATTTTCTAAATTTATCCAATATAAAAAATATTATCAACGTTAAGATCAATCTCATTAATTTTCCTTTCTCTTCTTCTTCTTCTTCTTCTTCTTAATAATAAAATCACGAATTTATTTTTACGCTTATCTTAAGAAATAAAGATTAAAGAAAATAAAACAACTGTTTGAACAGATTTTTCAAACGTATTAATTATAAGCTCTCATCGAAAAAAAAAAAAAAAAAAAAGAAATTCCTTTTAACGATTATAAAAGATCAATCTTATTTATAACTCTCTTAAACAAATTACAAATATATATATTATTAACTATTAACACACTCTTATCTTAAAATATTATATTATTTGAACAGATTTTAAATGTACAAATTTCAAGTATACCAATGAAGTAGAAGTAGAAGTCAGAAGAAGAAGTTTTTTTTTGATCATTGATACATGTTACAACCTTCTGAAAGGAAGTATTCAACGATAAGATATAATAAGTAAGTTTCATTTTGCAAAAGAAATTCTTCACATCGTACAGTTAGAAAAAAAAGAAAAAGAAAAAAAGAGAGAGAGAGAGAGAGAGAAAAGATTGTTTAAATGAATGGTGTTTGTTAAATCTAGTGAGAAGTCCTTCTCACTAAATATATTTACTTTTCACTCGACATATCTGATCGTAGAGAGAGAAAGAGAGAAAAATAAGAGAAAGAGAGAGAAAGAAAGAGCTGTCCAACTCAAGTTCCCGGATGCCAAGACTACCGTTGAACAAGACGACGGTTCTGACACTGTATTTCGTTCTGTAAAGATCTTATTCCCGTCTTGTTGCATTCTACGTGACTCATTTAGGCCAACAAATCGAACCACGCGCCACTACCAATCTCTTTCTCTTTCTTTTTCTTTTTCTCGTCTCTCTCTTTCTCTCTTTTTTCTCTTACTCTTATTATTTTTCTTTTTTTTTTTAATACATCTCGTTAAATATGTTTTTTTTGGTTGGTTGGTTGGTTGGTTGGTTGATTGCTTTTAAATCATAGTTAGATTAATCCAATATCATTCGCTTGCAAAATATATATTCGCGATAATGATTGATCAGCGTATCTGAAAATAGGATTGAATTTAATTTTGCGCATGTTAATATCAATTTAACATGATATTTGTAATTGTTTGTTTGTTTGTTTTTGAAATTAAAACATTTTTATATACATATATAACTTTTCTTAGAGATATTGAAATATATTATATCGTGTATATATATATTTTTATTTTTTTAAATAAAATCTAACGAATTTTTGTGTTAAGAATTAACATTATTACGTTTAAGAGAATGAAATAATTTACAAATATCACCGATAGAATAAAGCACAATTCATGTACAATCAACACATAGGGGGGGGGGTATAACAACAAATTAGAAAATGTTCGAGAAAAGTAAACGAAAAAAAAGAGACAACGAATACGAATGAAAATAAATTTACAAAATGCGATATAATCGTTTCACGTAAATCGAACAATAGAGAGAACGAACTTTTTAATTCTTTTAGATGAACTTTCGTTTAAAAAAATTATTTTCCATATATAAGCGTGTCGTTGACCTTTCGCGACAAAAAAAAAAGAAATTCAAACGATTATTATAAATTAATAATAATTTCTTTGTATATGTTTTTTTTCTTCCTTCTTGAGAAAATCATTGAAAACACCTGGTAACACAGCCATCAGTTTGTAAAACCCTTATGGTTCTTCCTTTTTTGTAAATTCTTAAAGGAGGTTTGTGTTGATCATCACACAGTGATCTGTGTTTTTCATGGATGCACGTAGGGCGAACACAGAGTATGGGAAACGGGGGTGGGGGGAGAAGGGGAGGAGGAAATACGTTTGTTGTATTGGAGTCAAACGAGTGGTGGTTGGTCGTGTTTGCCAGGAAACTGTCTTTGTTGAGAGTCCTCCACGAAATATTCTTTGTCTCTTAGCCCTTCCATGTGTTTTATGCGACCCCAACGACCCACGCTCGAAGAACACATTTTTCAAATAAGAACGAAAGAAGAAGACGACTTCTTCTTCTTCTGCTTCTGCTTTTGCTTCTTCTTGATTCGTCATTCTAAATAAAAGATAAGAAACAAATCATATTTGATTTTTTTACATTTTAAATTGGAATGAATGACGTGTACCCCACTCGTGTGTGCGATAAATGTTTTCTCGAATTATTATTTTATTTTATATATATATATATACGCACAAGAGAGTATTTAATAAATAACTGATAAAATATATCACGTTACGAGAGATAATAGATTAATTAAAAATAATAATAATAATTATGAAGAAAATTGAT